AAAAATCTCAAAGAAATTTAGAAAATCCATTCTGGGAAGTATTTGGCAAGCGTGCAGTCAACCTCTTGCATATCTATGAGATACGTCTGTTTTACTGACAAATCTGTGTATTTTTTAGTTTTCAAAATTTTACCAAATTTGTAAAATAAGGTACACTTACTAGAGCACTTGGTGTTAAAACAATATTGCTTATAACACATGAAAAATATTCTTTTTAACAGTTTGGGGAAAATATGTCGGAGCATTTTTGAGAAGTTTAACTTACATACACAGAAAATAAAATCACATCAATACTACATTTAACAGCATAATCCAATTGGATTAGTTTTCATTTTTGTGCATGACAGTAATCTATGCCAGGAAGTGCCTTGCATTTATAATTTTGTCCACTGCAACAATTGGTGTGCTTAAACTGTATTTTCACTGCCATATGATAACATCTTGTAGCCTTAAAACTATGTCCATGATTTCACATGGAATTATATATATATAAAAATAAACAATAAGTTTTTCACAGAATTTTCGTAAAATTTCTGTCAGCACATGAGGAAATTAATCTAATTATACCAAAAATAAACATTTAACTAAAAACATTTTTAATGTTTACAAGTGAGTAATCATGTTTAACCCTTTCTGATGAACAGTCTAAAAGAGCTATGTAAAATGGCTTCTTTTCAAACCCCCCCCCCAAAAAAAAAAACCCCTTACATGAAACACCAATGTCTTTTTAACAACCTTCACTTCAAACAAGATAGTGGTCTAAAAGAATAACTAACAAAGAGAACATCCAAATAAATTACATTTCCAAATCATGCAGAGTACAATATTTTTCTTTATAGCTTTGTGTTTAAATACTTGAAATGCAGAAGAACTGTAATACAGTATAAAGATACTCCAATCACAATAGTCTCCTTAGATTTTCATTTCGTAAGTTCTTTTTCCAATTTCTTGACCATTGGTCTTCTTGTGAGCTGATGCTGGTTTGCTGTACAAAAAGATGGACATTATCACAAGTCCTGCACCCAGAGCAAACTGACCAGTAAGGTGGAACTGGAAAGCATAAACAGAAACAATGCAAGAAAGTACAATAGCTAAAGACGTAGCAAAACCCTTCAGAATGTTATCAGCATATTTGACAACCACGGCCACTAAAAGGCCACCCAAAGCTTGAAGAAGTATGACAAACCAGGTCAACATAGTATAGCCAAAGAAAAACCCCCTCTCTTGAACTTCACTGTAACTGCTAAGAAATGTCGTGGCCAGTCCAATTGGAATAGAAAAAGTGCTCAGCTGGACGTTTCTCATCCACACAGAAATATCACTTCCCTTCAGTATTTTCTCAAAGTATACTCCTGCAAAGCCGGAGAGGCAACAAGCAGTAAATATGGCCAGGAATCCAAAGAAAGGACTTTGTTCGCGTCCTGCAGGGTTTATTTGAGTTGTATTTGCCTGAGCAAACTGAACGAATGCTACACCAATAAACAAGAAGAATAAAGCCACCCACTGCAACATGAAGAGTTTCTTGTTTAACATGGCAACAGAGAAGAGTGCAGTTGTCAAGATCTTGAGCTGGTACGTAACCTAGAGATGTAAACAACAAGTATAAGTATAAGTTGTTATAATATATATATATAATACATATTATATATATATACAACAAATTTTAATATATCAATAGAGAAGAATGTTGGAGGATGCAATATATCAATCTCAAACAATTAGTTTGAAAATAAATCATGCAATGAAATGAAATTAAATGAAATGTGTCATTTGTAAACAAAATATAAAGTATTAACTTTCCTTGTTGTATTATACTGATTCGATCAGACAATTTCATAATAGTTTGTTGTGAAGAACAAAACTATACAATGGGATGTCATGGCTGTGCCCACTTCAGATCAAACACGGAAATCAAATTTTAGTGTCATACGTCCTCAAGCTCACTGCTGAATCACAGGTGAACATCATTCTTGTAAGAGATCATTTTATTCAGCTAGTCAGATTAACATGTATTGTGAAGGCTTGTTTAAACAAATTGAAATGTTTGTATGAACATACTTGACAAAAGGTTAATAATTTCATTTTCTGATTTCAGTACATTAGATTTTAATAAATTTAAACATTTATGGTCACCTTTACATCTTAGTTACTTTTAAAGCATATTACATTTTTGGTCTGTATGTTTTACTACTTCTTAACTTATCAACCAGTAAAAGTCTGAAAGCATCACAAACAATACTGTTTTATTCTAATTATTATTAATACATCAAAAACATTGAAAATTGTATGTTTCACAAATACTATATTTACTAACAACCATGGCCATAAGTATACGAAATATTTGTGAAACATATAACTGTCTTTGTTTTTACCTTAATTCTGTAAAAACTTGTACTCCATATAACACTGATATCTAGTTTCATTAGTTTTTTGTTAAACTGGGTGGATTAGGATTATTTTGTTAAGTTAGTTAAACAGTGTTTGACCACAAAAAACTACTATATATATGAATGATCACAGTATATATCAATAAGTGTGACCTTACTTTAACTTGGGAACAAAGATTTAAATAAACTACAGGAATATTTGAAGTATTATCAAACTGCATTATAAAGACACTTAAAAAAAACCTTACTTAATCAGTTGTGTCTTCCTAAGTTATCAGGAATCCAAAATGGTAGCTCAGAGTACTTCAAATTAACTGAAACAGGACATGCATATCAGGTGCCACAACACAATGCATATTTGCTAATGCAGACAAAAATAATCACTTAATTGTTCACTACATTATGTTCCACTAACAGAATGTATGCTTGGTAACCCACATATTACATGGAGAAAATGTGTCATTGTTTGTTGGGATATTGAGTAAAACAAATATATTGACATCACGGTCACACGTGTATTAAATATTATGATACAAAATATAACATTTTCCTTACCTGAAAATGTATTTCTGATACATACTCACCTCCTCCATGATCCACCACCCCAAACCCTGACTGAAGGCATCGACAAATACAGCGAAAGGATGAGGATAAAGAGGCCAAAACCTGGGAAATGTGGAATTCAGGCAAGTGCCAAATGCATTCAGTTCCAGAATACCTCACTGTTAACATAGCCAACCAAACACCTATTGGTCTAGGAACCACTCTGTTGGAAGAATCTTGTCAGGGCATGATTAACAATTTGTGACCAGCTTCAGGGCATCTGGTATATGACATGCCATCAATTGAATGTGATGGCTGTGGGCCCAAAATAGGAGGTCCAACATGTGGAAACAAAGAGACCTCAACCAAGTGGCCCTTTGCTGAGTGACGTATGTGACAACTGTGAAGTTGTAAGAATGGACCATAACCGACCAGTTCTGGAGAGACGGAAGGAAATGAACCAAAGTCTGATGAAAAGTGAGCAGTTCCAAGAGATTGCTATGCAGAGAAGACTTCGCTACAGACCAATGTCCTGAAATATCCTGCTGTCCAGATACAAACCCCAACTCAAAAGGGAAGCATCCGTGAAGAGGTTCACCTTCAGATGAGGAGAAGAAAGAGGAATGCCCACTGCTCTCTTAGTTCAAACACTAGGCAAATTCCACATGAAGGGAAGGAGGGAGATGGATAAGGATATTCAAGGGATCCTAAATGATGTTCCACTGATCTTTTAAAGAGGTTACATATGGGCTCAACTGAGGGAAATGAGGACCTCCAAAGAAGCCCATGACACAAGAAATAGAACCTCTCACACAGTTGAAGGAGAAGAGAAAATAGTTACAAACAGAA